GAGAGAGAGAGAGAAAGTCTTCTAGCACAAGTGGCTGAGTGGACAATGCAATGGGTTTTAACCGAGCAGCCATACCAAATAAAATGAACGACAACAAGACTTAACATACAGTTAAGTTGCTAAAAATCTATGTTGATTAATAAAACCAGTGACATACGATGCCTACAGTTATAATCGTGTTATACAGTATGTAACGAGTAGTACAGTGTATGTTTTGTCAGCTTTTGTGGGAAACAAAAATATGTTTTGTGATTTCTCTCCAAGTTAGTGAAATTGTGAGCCTTATCTATATCATTATATTGTATATCTATATTGTATTTGGAGAATTCCTATTGAATAATATGAATAGTGAGCACAAGAATCCTTATATGCAGAGCCAGTTCAAAATAAAAGAATGCAAATTCTAAGCTATTTCTGTCTATTGTATTTTATGCTGTAGTCTTTATGTTAACATAGATTATACCACTTTCAGTATCAAGGACAGGTATGTTCACATGTGTGTGGATGGTGTTCAGCACCAGGGACAGGGACACCAACACGTGTGAATGGTGTTAAGTACCAACGTCAGACACATTTACCTGTGTGTGTATGGACTTCAGCACCAAGGACAGGCATGTACACTTGTGTGTGGATGGTGTTCAGCACCAAGGACAGACATGTTTTACTGAGTACTCGAGTGTGGATAGTGTTCAGTACCAAGGACAGGCATGTTCACTTGTGTGTGGATGGTGTTCAGCACCAAGGACAGACATGTTTTACTGAGTACTCGAGTGTGGATAGTGTTCAGTACCAAGGACAGGCATGTTCACCTGTGTGTGGATGGTGTTCAGCACCAAGGACAGGCATGTTCATTTGTGTGTGGTTGGTGTTCAGCACCAAGGACAGGCATGCTTACTTGAGTGGATGGTGTTCAGCACCAAGGACAGGCATGTTCATTTGTACTTGTATAGTGGCTATTTACATATGCAAATAAAGGCAACCTATATATTATGTAATGCTTTTAAATCCAATCGTTGTAAAACGTTTTATATGAAATATTTCGAGTACATGTGAAGTATTAGCAGTAAAGGTGAGATGGGCCGCCTGAAAATCGTATGAAACACGACCGAAAATCGTGCAAAACAAGCGGAACTGGCCGTATTTAGCGGAGTTAATTACTGAGACCGGAAGTGTGGTCGTATGAATGGTAATCTTCCGGTATAGCTGTACAGAGGAACGACGTAGGGTTTAAAGGCACCCTGTGCAACTGCAAGGTGGTAAAATATTCTGGATGAGGAAATCTGTGTGTATTCACATATCTTCACGGTTACAGGGAACAGTATCTACAATGCGGTCCCAAACGTACAAGAATGTTATACACACATAATGTTGTCAAGTAAAGAAAAACAGCAGTAACATGGAGTAGTAGCTACAATGCGGTCCCAAACGTACAAGAGTGTAATATGTACATAATATGCCCCGAAGGAAGGTGACAGACGGTCACCCAATCGTCAACAAACCTCTTGGTTGGTTATCCTTGCTCACAAGGTCATGTGTTGACCTTTGACCTTACTTTCTAAAAGCTCTACACTACAGGCCAGTTTGGTAAATGGCCTCCCTCGTCTCGTCCTTTGGTTATTAAAGGTGAGGTAAGCATATTTGTGTTATGCATTTTCTTTCATAATTGAAACTGGCATTACCAATGATATGTCTGCTTAAAATCTCATTGGTAAAGCCTAGTCATATATAAACACAAACACTAGCCCGTGTGTGTCGACATACAATGTACGTACATGTATGCATTAACTGCATTGACCTTTGTACTCTACCTTACATGTGAGGTCAGTTAAAATTTCTTGTTGGTTGTTTCTGACATAACTAAAGGGGCAGATAGAAACGTCGAAGGTGTTAATCAACATTTGAGCTGACAAAGAAACAGTTTTCAAAATCTCACAGTTGCTTGAGTAACAGTTTCCCGTGTAAGTAGTACATGTGCCAATGTTTGGGGTTCTTTGTTGGTGCTACCTTGTTGTATGCAATTGAATGGTTTCGGACTCCTTGAATGTGTCTTTATACAACCAGGCATGTCAGTGAAGAAGCATCCCCACCCCCGCCCCGTAGACCCGCCTGACGGGGGCTGGGGCTGGGTGGTGGCCCTGGCAGGCTCCATGGTGACCGCCGGGACGTTCGGCATCAGCCGGTCTCTGGGAGTGTTCTTCGTGCTCTGGAGAGAACAGTTCGACGCTACTGCCGCGGAGGTCGCTTTGGTACCGTCCATGTTGACGGGAATTGCGTATTTATCAGGTAACTTAAATATCATAGTATATGTATGTATTTATCATCAATATATAGCGTGTTTTGTATCCAGAGCCATGCATATCTAGTTCTACGCCTGAATTGGTTAGGGTTAGGATCAGGCACGGTATTGGATAGTCTCTGCGTACCCAATAACATAGATTTGCCTCGGGCACGGTTCTGGACACAACATAGTTACTTCTGGGCACGGAAGTATTGTTTGGGGTGGGTTGTTGGTTTGTGTGTATGCGTACAGTATATGTTTGTTCAGTCAGAGTACGTTGACAGCACGTTGGTGCAGATTTATGGGAGGTCAAAGGTCATCGTTTCTTTTCCCAGCACCCATAGCGAGTGGTCTGGGCCGGAAGTTTATTTGAATGTTTGTTTTCCCAGCACCCATAGCGAGTGGTCTGGGCCGGAAGTTCGGGTTCCGTCCGGTCATCATGGCGGGAGGCGTGATGGCGGCCGCAGGGTTCTGTCTCAGCCGGTTTGCCACTCACATCTCTCACCTCTACATCACTATCGGCTGTCTTGTAGGTGGGTCGGACAAGATTATGCACCAAACTTTACAAGGCCTAGGAGAAATCTTGCGATCTGTCCTTCTCGTTGCATCGGCCAATCAGAATCCTGTTGCTTGGAGGAAAGTAACTAGCCAATCGCCGTTTGTATACGTCAAGCAACAGTCCTGGCGTACTCGCTTGTGATTTGTTATTCTCTCTGCATGATCAGCCAATCAGAATTCCCTCCTGCTCCCGGAGGGAAAGTTACTAGCTAATCACGTCACTGCTTGCGCCAAGAATTAAATACATGTAGCTTGTAGGTTTCTCTCCAAGAACAGACCTAGCAAAAAAGCTCAACCCCAACTCTTAAGCTTTTCGCAAATTGCAAAACATCCAAGCTGCAGCAAAGTTTAAGCAAAGTTATGACGTAATTTCCGTCTTATCAGAAAAGTTATAACGTCAATTTCCTTTGTTTTGTTCAGGGCTTGGGGCCTCTCTAAGCTTCACCAACATGGTAATCTGCGTGGGAAGATATTTCACCACAAAAAGACTCAAAGCCAACAGCATGATGACTCTGGGAGGAACCCTGGGTGCCTTCGCATTCCCACCACTCTTGCAACTACTGATAGATGAATACGGGACGAAAGGAGCACTTCTAATCGCCGGTAGCATTGCTTGTCATATAACAGCTTTTGGAGCCCTGGTGCGACCGCTCCGCCTCAGAGGTGACGCCAAAAACACCACAGACAAGCACCCGGACAGTGGTGAATCTAGACTAGTGGGCGAACAAGGCAGGCGTACTTGTAACGCTAGGAAGTCATTCCTGTCAGCACTAGATCTCAACTTGTTGAGGGAACCATCTTTTGCAATATTCATAATCTCAACGGGGTTTCAAGCGTCGAATCTCCCAGCTACGGACATCTACCTCATTCCACGTGCGAAGGTTTTAGGCATAGAGGACTACCCTGCCGCTTTCTTATGTCCATTTTGAGCATTGTAAGTATAGTTGGGCGACTGCTCATCGGTTTGCTGCCTGAGTGGAAGAAGTTCCGACGTATTGACCAATACGCGACGGCGGAGTTGTTACTGGGAGGAATGATGATGGTGATGCCATTGGCTACGTCTTACGGTGTGATGGTGGCTTGGAGTGTCGTGTTCGGGCTGATATTTGGGGCGTTGGTCCCGCTAACGGTCACCGCAACGGCAGAACTTGTGGATACGAGCAAACTCCCAGGCGCCATGGGAATCAGAATGTTCGTGCAAGGGATTGCCTTTATAGTGGGACCGCCCATTTCAGGTAAAGAAAATGCCTATGTTTTTTTTACCTTCATTTACAGTGGTTTTCCTCTCGGTGTGTTTGTATCTGTTTGTTTGCTTGTGCGTCCGTAGCTATTTGAATACAGTAGAGTCACAGGCAGTGATGGGGAAATGATGTAACCACAGACTGACAGGAAGGTCAAATTAGAGGTTTGAGGCATTCAGAAACTCAAGAAATGCATATAATGCCATATTGGATGTGCACAGAAGCAGGGAGAAAAAAATTATAAAAAATAAAGCAGGAATACTAGGAAATAAAAATTTCTTACAGATAATAACATCATGACGTTTTTATTAACTTCTCTTCCACAGGAGCACTACGTGACGTCACAGGTAGCTATGACGGAACGTTTCTCTTCGGCGGCGCATGCGTACTCTTTGGAGGGCTGATACCGTTCGTACTGCACATGCGCGTGTTTACCCGAAAGAAAGCTGACGTCATTGATGCTGCAGACGTTGTGGACCTATCAGAACAAGATGACGTAAAACCAGGGTCTTCAGAACTGACTTGGTTTATAACAAAAGAAACGTCAATGTAGAACTGACACCGCTATGAGGAAATTGTAGTCTAAAACAGGCTTTCCTACGGGGGTGCGGAACATAGAATTGGTCCCTAGGGATCATTTTATGCTGTAGTCTTTATGTTATCATAGATATCACTTTCAGTACCAATGACAGGTATGTTCACATGTGTGTGGATGGTGTTCAGCACCAGGGACAGGGACACCAACATGTCTGTGAATGGTGTTAAGTACCAACGACAGACACATTTACCTGTGTGTGTATGGACTTCAGCACCAAGGACAGGCATGTTTAACTAAGCGTGGATAGTGTTCAGCACCAAGGACAGGCATGTTCACCTGTACTTGTATAGTGTCCATTTACATATGCAAATAAAGGCAACCTGTATATTATGTAATGTTTTTAAATCAAATCGAAAGTCAGTACTCATGAAGTTTCCATTGACAGTTATTTGTACAACTCTGATCGTCCACTTGTTTGACCAGGTCGTCTTTGACCTGTGCTGTAGAGGACGTCGGGCGTACTTCGCTTCCCGCCACTTTTAATTCTTGATCTCTTCGCCCTGTCACCCAATCCACGCTTGTCTTTTATTTCTTGTAGGTTATCTTCACCCTCCCCATGTTTTAGCTTTGTGTTAGTCTGAGATGTCAGAAACGGACATTCTGATTGGGTGACAGCTGGTTGCTTGCAATTTGTCTGAGAGGGCAGAGACAGGCATTCTGATTGGGAGACTGGTTGCTTGCAATTTGTCTGAGAGGGCTGAGACAGGCATTCTGATTGGGTGACTGGTTGCTTGCTATTTGTCTGAGAGGGCTGAGACGTCGGGCATTCTAATTGGTTGAATGGTTTATTGGTCTGATAGAGCAGAGAAGGGCTTTCTGATTGGTCAAGGGGTCGCTTAACCATTGTTTCTTCTTCATTTCCAACATTTTCAGCAAAATCTTTGTCAGTTTGTGCTGATGAATGATATAGGGCTGCTTCATTATTTCCACATGGCATCACCTTTACATCTGATGGCAGGAGTAACTGACACTCTGATTGGCCGATTGGCTGTTTGACGCAAGTTTCATCTTGGGTTGTGATGTTTTCACAGTGACCGCTGCAGTCTCTTGGTGGATTGTTTTTGTTTACTTCGATATGTTTTGGTTTTACGTCGGGTAAGTGATCTTCATGATGGAACTGGGTAACTGGTTGTTTGATAACTGTTTCCTGATGTTCAGTGGTATCTCCCTGTTGTATGATGTCCGTAATAGGCCGACTCGGAGAGACATGTCTGCAGATGCCATGCATCAGCTCCTGATGCATGACATGCGCCATTGTATGACGTCTTCTAGCCTGAGGGGAGGGAAGGTAGGCTATTGCATATGGATGGCCCATGCCGTTTTCATCTTGTCTTGTATCGTATGTCACGGCGTATGGCTGAAGCTCCGGCCCATGATCAAATTGGGAAACTGGTTGTTTGATAACTGTTTCCTGATGTTCAGTGGTATCTCCCTGTTGTATGATGTCCGTAATATGCTGACTCGGAGAGACATGTCTGCAGATGCCATGCATCAGCTCCTGATGTTCGTTGATAACTGATTGGTTGACGTATGCCACTGTATGACGTCTTGTAACCTGAGGAGAGGGAAGGTAGGCTATTGCATATGGCTGGCCCATGCCGTTTTCACCTTGTCTTGTATCGTATGTCACGGCGTATGGCTGAAGCTCTGGCCCTGGGTCGTCATCGTTGTCTACCGCACGAGAGTGTAGTTCCTGCTCTTGGTCTTCACTATTGGTCACTGCACGTGCCTGAAGCTCTGGTCCGGAGCTGTCGTGGAGGGTCATGGCTTGTGAATGTAATTCTGGACATGGTTCATCGGTCATTTCTTTGGATTGATGAGGCTTTGGCACTGATGTTTCGTGGTGTATTGAAGCTTTGGGTAGAATCTTTGGCTCTTGGTCAGCTACTTGATGTATGACAGCATGCGTCTGAAGCCCAGCATCTTCTAGTCCTACTTCTGGTTGATTGCTGGAATTGACTTCAGATGTTTGTTGACGAGAATCATCCTCTGCGAAGGCCACAGCATATGGCTCTATCGTTTCAAAATAGGCTACTGCGTATGGCGTCACAATTTCAGGAGATCCAGGGTCTTCCGTGGCTGCTTCGGCGGGTATGTAGTTCTGATGGCAGTGTTTGCAGAAGAAGAGAACAATCACTGATGCTATCACAAAGAGAAGGGGCACAAGAACTGCACAGAGCATGGTAACAAGTCTGGTCCTCTTGTCATCCAGTGTGATGATTGGATCTCGTTTGAAAAGAATGACGTAGTCCGTCTCTGTTGTCTGATTGGACACCGGTGTGCTGTTTGTGTGTGACTCATTTGTGTAGTCTTGGGTGTGGACAGTATGGTTGTACGCTTTACTCGTGTGGATCGTTTCTGTGGAGGTCTTAGCGGTAACTGTCTGCCTGCACGGCAGAGTGTTGGGGACAAGTTGAGGGCTCTCTGAGCTCGTGCTTGCCGTATCTGTCCCGTTGGAAATGTTCTCCCATTCTTTAGAACACATGGCGCCATTCTTCAGTGTGGTGACGAAGGTTCCGCTGAGGTTATCAGGTGAAACACACTGCAGAGAGCTGTGATAGCGAACCAGATCCAGGAGCGCTAGATTGCAGATGAACCACGTGAGATTTCTGTCGCAGTTCAGCTTGATTGTCAGTATTGTAAGGCGGAGGCGCGGGTTCTGGTTCAGTCGCATGATTTGCCTATCGATGGTAGTGATTGGGTTCGCGTTTAGATTCACGCTGGTTAGTGCTGTTGGCATCAGAAGCGAATCGACGGGTACGGATTTGAGGCTGTTGTGGTTCAGAGTCAGGTCTCTGAGAAGAGGTAGACCGCGGAATGCACACTGGGATAGGTACGAAATTGCGTTTTGTTGAAGTTGCAGGGTTTTCAGTTGTTCAAGCCCAATGAAAGCGTCGCATTCTGTAGACGAATAAAACAGTGACTGCATGTCATCCAATAAGTAAACAAAGTAGAGATTTCAAATTTCCGGGAAGTATCTAGATTTTTTAAAATCTATTGACACAACCAACATTCCTCGGGCCTACGGCAGGAAGTGCGTAAACCTAACTTGTTGTGATAAGCTCTAATTGGGGTGGGCTTTCCTATCAGTCTGCGGTTACAAAATCTCCCCCTCCCTTTCTACCACTCTATTGCATTCAAATACCTACGGACACCAAAAGAAATACTAGTAAACAAACAAAACGAACACACCAAAAACAAAACCTACGTACACCTAGGTGATAAAATGAAAATATGACAGTCACGAATTTAAAACCAGCAAAAGTAAAACCCTATGAGTTGTTTCATTTTTGCCTCTATTCTAACCTTCGTTATAATAACGTTAAGAATTGGTAGAGACATTGTAACTTAAGTAAGGTTCGTACAAAACATTACTCAGACTACTCCCACATCTAGAGGAAGTGGCACAGCCCAGTTGAAGAAAGGTATTTGGGCCACGAGGATTTCATACCGATATCCTAAAAGCAGTTGACCTACAATATGGTACACAAATATAATACTGTCCAGACAATTTGTAAGGAAAAAAAAGATTGTTCCATTTTTCTATACGGATCGCGATTGCATTAGGAAGGTAAACATTGTGCATTTTTCTTTTTTTGTTTTCGACTCAAACACTACTAGTGCTACAAATCTTGATGCAAGTCTCATACAAACTGCCCTTGAAAAATATTAATTAAAATACAATTTATCTCATGTTCAACCTTGAAAAGCTTGTTGAAATTATTTTCTTCATGTCCTTTTAGCATTTTTCACCTTCTACAGTTACGGCCCAATAATTGTTCAGTATCAAAAATATATATGTATATTTCTAATTACTGGGTATCACGTTTCTGTAAATGTAGTACCATACAAGCTGCTAGGTGGTCTACAATCAAAGTTCAATCAGTTGACATGTATCCACATGCAAAATATCAGAAGATATTCACACAAAATATCAAAGATCCATCCACAACTTCTCGAGTTATGCGGTCAAAACGCCAACAAACACACAAACAGCACCAGAAACATAACGATTTTTGCTCAACCTACCAAGCTCAGAGATGCGATTGTCGGCCAGAGAGAGGGTCTGTGCCCGCGCTAGACCCCGAAAAGCCCCCGGTTGTATCACCGAAACGTTCGACCGCTGAATGTTGAGCGAGAAGACACCAGAAGCGTCCGGGAAGGAGCATTCCAGAAGCGTCGGAGCACGGAGGTACTTGATGGAGATTAAGCGGGTGCCGCTGCCGAAGCCGGCGGGGAGGGTGTCCAGGCAGGCCGGGGAGTGGTACGTTCCGCCGTGCCCTGCCCAACTGCACGGAGACCCGGTCGCATGCCCAGCAGGACAGTGACAATGCTGACTCGAACTGAACGACAGGCGGACGTCAGTACGACAGCCGAGCGGACAGGTCTGAGACGCCGCGGAAAAACTGCCAAAAAGGAAAAGAAACAAAACCAAAGCCTTGCTTCGACCCATTTTGAGAAATGAATTTGAGAGATAGATACTTTTTGTTGGTCGCTGTCCTTTTTAAATGTCTTCGTATAGAATTATCTGAATATATACAAGTGTATGGTATGAATATACATTGTATATTTTATGTAATCGGTTGGCAGAAGATGGATATTTTGCTATGATTAGTCTGTTGGTTTTCCGTATGTTTTTTTTTTTCTTTTGAGGTTTTCCGGACATTATTGTCTACATCTCGGCCCTACCTGTAGGCGACACCGTCCATTTGCAGTTTTAGGTAGCATGGAAGTGTGTCTGATAACTTTGGGGACATCCAAAAAAAAAATACTAGTTAGGGTTACGTATAGCCATCATTGTCCTTGTAAAAGGAACATATACATATGTATAATCTTGCCGATTTTGTTGTCTCGAAAATGTCATTATTACGAAAGCCTAAACAGTCTACCGGTTATACGAAACAAGCAAACAGAAACGAGATTCCTATAAACCTGCACATTCTCCTGTTTAACAGTCTCCTCGCATCAAACTAAAAAAAAGAAGATCTGGACAAAACATAATTTGATTGTCCGATTGTTTGTTTCAACCTTCATTTATTTATGAGACGCTGAAATATGTCTGCAGACCTGGCCTCTTTTGGCGAGAAGGAGGCAAGGGTCAGACAAAATACAACAAAGATTACATGGTTGAAGTCATATGTCACACAATTTCCTTATTTTTTTAAAAATCTCCACCAGACTAGCGACGCGGTTTCAAAACAGTAAAAAATAACCACGAAGGCCAGAAGAGTTTGGCCACCGTAGTGTTCATTTGCCCACACAATTCCTACCGCGGACTGACTCTCCTGGCCAATTTGTTTATGTTAACCTTCACAGAAGGAAAACATATTGTTTTTGCTCAGTTTCTTCTTCCATTCCAAACGCATAAGGTCAGTGACCTGGACCAGACGGCTGTCACCATGGTAACTGGTGCTGTAGCAGACAACCTGTGGTGTTGAATTACATGATGTAGCAGGGGACTGGTTAACATGTGTTTGAGTAAGAGTGAACAGAGCAGTAATTTGTGAGGATAGATCATCTGAAGGTAAACATTATGAATTTGCGTTGTACATGTTGCCTTATTCTAGTTTACGACTGGACCTTCGTAGCCGGATGGAGGCTACAATTTCTTTCCTGTCCTTGGTACTAAACACTATCCACTCACATGTAAAGATGACTGTCCTTGGTGCTGAACACTATCCACACTTAGTTAAACATGCCTGTCCTTGGTGCTGAAGTCCATACACACACAGGTAAATGTGTCTGACGTTGGTACTTAACACCATTCACACATGTTGGTGTCCCTGTCCCTGGTGCTGAACACCATCCACACACATGTGAACATACCTGTCATTGATACTGAAAGTGGTAAAATCTATGCTTAGTCTAACATAAAGACTAGTACAGCCTAAAATGATCCTCCGTATCCTCTGGTTTAGGCTACAATTTCCTCATAGCGGTATCAGTTCTACACTGACGTTTCTTTAGTTATAAACCAAGTCAGTTCTGAAGACCCTGGTTTTACGTCATCCGGTTCTGCTAGGTCCACAACGTCTGCAGCAACAATGACGTCAGCTTTCTTTCGCGTAAACACGCGCATGCGCAGTAAGAACGGCATCAGTCCCCCAAAGAGTACGCATGCGCCGCCCAAGAGAAACGTTCCGTCATAGCTACCTGTGACGTCACGTAGTGCTCCTGTAGAAGAGGAGTTGATAAGATGATACATGTTATTCTCTGTAAAAAAAAATTATTTTATTTCCTAATACTAATGCTCCACAAGGTATAGCTCTAGACAACTACCTTTTATCATGTAGATTTTAGTTATTTTATACTACGTTTCATTGTTCTTTTATGTTTGTAATTTGCAATTAGCCCCCCGGGCACGAATTTGCAATGAACTTCTTCTATGAAAAAATAATACTCCACTGCCGCGCACATGCTTTCGTCTGAGTTTCTGAATTCCTCCACTGCACAATTCATTCATTTCTTCCCAGCCTCCAATTTGACCTTCCTGTCAGTCTGCGGTTACATCATTCCCCTTCCTATGTCTCCACTATATTGAAATAACTTCGGACACACATATATATATATATAATATTGACCATGGTAAAATCCTAATTGATAACTGCCCTACGGACACAGACAAGCAATTAGCAAAATAGAAAAACAAAACCGCCGTACACCGAGGTAAAAAAAAAACATAGTAGTTTTCATTCGTTACCTGAAACGGGAGGTCCCACTAGAGTAGCGATCCCTTGCACGAACAATCTGATTCCCATGGCTTCTGGCAGTTTGCTCGTTTCCACCAGGTCCGCGGTAGTAGTGACAGTTAGCGGGACATACCCCCCAGATAGCAGCCCAAAAACAACACTCCAAGCGACCATGCCTTCATATGACGTAGCTAGTGGCATCACCATCATCATTCCTCCTGTTAGCACCCCTACCGTCGCGTATTGGTCAATACGTCGGAAGTTCTTCCACTCAGGCAACAGACCAATCAGCATGCGACCAACCAAATCTACAATGCCTAATATGGACATAAGGAAAGCGGCTGGGTAGTCCTCTATGCCTAAAAGCTTCGCGCGCGGGACGAGATAGATGCTTGTAGCTTGGCGATTGGACGCTAGAAAACCGGTTGAGATTACGAATATTGCAAAAGATGGTTCCCTCAACAAGTTGAGATCTAGTGCTGACAGGAATGACTTCCTAGCGTTACAAGTACGCCTGCCTTGTTCGCCCACTAGTCCAGATTCACCACTGTCCGGTTGCTTGTCTGTGGTGTTTTTGGCGTCACCTCTGAGGCGGAGCGGCCGCACTAATGCTCCACAAGCTGTGGTATGAAAAGCAATGCTACCGGCGATTAGAAGTGCTCCTTTCGTCCCGTATTCATCTATTAGGAACTGGAACAGAGGAGGGAACGCGAAGGCTCCCAGGCTTCCTCCCAGAGTCATCAAACTGTTGGCTTTGAGTCTTTTTGTGGTGAAATATCTTCCCACGCAGATTAGAAGGTTGGTCAGGCTTAGAGAGCTTCCGAGCCCTGAACAAAAGAAAAGAAAATCAACGTCATACTCATAGCTTTTCTGACAAGACATCAGAGTGTGCAGTTTGGCTGTTTGTGGCAAGCTTAAAGATCTATATAGTTTGTGTTTGATTGGCTAGTAACTTTCCCTCAGGCAACAGGAGGGGCATTCTGATTGGCTGATCATGTAGCGAGAATGACAAATCACAAGCGAGTACGCCAGGACCGTTGTTCGACGTATCATAGTGTGACAAACGGGGATTGGCTAGTACCTTTCCCTCCAGCAAGGAGGAGATTCTGATTGGCTTATCATGCAGCGAAAAGGACAGATCGCAGGCTGGTAATACACAAGAATCCCAGCATAAAGCATGCGTAAATGTTGTTCAGAGTGCGACAAATGAATCTTTACGTAGGATTTCTTACGCCAGTACCAATGCCTAGCGGTGGGTCTTGCACGAGAGGATACACTATCTAGTTTGATGCATAATCTTGTCCGACTTACCTACAAGACAGCCGATAGTGATGTAGAGGTGAGAGATGTGAGTGGCAAACCGGCTGAGACAGAACCCTGCGGCCGCCATCACGCCTCCCGCCATGATGACCGGACGGAACCCGAACTTCCGGCCCAGACCACTCGCTATGGGTGCTGGGAAAAGAGACAGACAGTTAAATATTTATCGATAACGAACAACCTCGCACCATCAATGAGTGGAATGAACTTGAGCCCAGTGTGGTGGAGGCGAAGTCCATCTCCCAATTCAAAGCAGAACTGGGAGGGGCTTCACTGCATTGAGCTGCCCCCTGTACTTTGTACATATGTAAATATGTGTACTATACTAACATCACTAATTTTCACTTGTCCTGTTCTTGCACTTGGCCACGTCTACCCCTATCCTACCCTTTGTTTGCTCACAGTTATTGAAGTTTGCACACAGTTACTTATTAACTATAAAATTTGTGCAGCTGCTAGTAATCCTGTATATTGAAGGCTAAGCAGTAAGGAAGATGATGATGATGATGATAATGCACCGTCCCTGATCCATACTCTGACTGGGCACGCGGTCCTGGATACATACACATGCTATATAAAGATAATACATGCGTATTTATGTTTACCGAAGGAAAACATATTGTTTTTACGGTAACCTATGACCTGACCAATGACATGATTTGTTGACGTCTGTCACCATGGTGACTGGTGTTGGGTTACATAATGTTGCAATTTCATGGTCTGCTCTGCTCCTGTCATCATATACTAGTAGTACATGTATGTGAGTTTGAGTAAGAATTAACAGAGCAGACCATGTCCGAAGGTAACATTTTGCAGTTGCTTTGCAAACGTTACTTCTCTAGTTCATGATAATTCAATTGTTACCTGTTAAATGCGTCATTCCCATCAGCATGGACTGAACCAAAGCGACCTCCGCGGCAGTAGCGTCGAACTGTTCTCTCCAGAGCACGAAGAACACTCCCAGAGACCGGCTGATGCCGAACGTCCCGGCGGTCACCATGGAGCCTGCCAGGGCCACCACCCAGCCCCAGCCCCCGTCAGGCGGGTCTACGGGCCGGGGGTGGGGCTGCTCCTTCACTAACATTCCTGGACGTATAAAGACACAAGAAGGCTGAGAAAACTATTCAATTGCACAGCAAGAACCAACAAAGAACCCCAAACATTAGCATGAAAGTTCATCTGAGTTGGTAAATTACATTATGAAAAACTTAACCTTTTCTCCAACTCAAAATCTGACTCACCAGACATTGTCACCAGTTTTTCATAACTCCAAACATTGGCACACTGGAAAACTGTTACTCAAGCAAATGTGACATTTTGAAAACTGTTTCTTTGCGGGGGTGGGGATGCTTCTTCACTAACATGCCTCTGTATAGTGGGGATAAAACACGTGCGATGTTAATTTCGGTGTTATTAACTATCGATGTTATCGATCCTGTAATTTTTCGCCGATAACGTGAACAATGTCGACCTGAAAAACGATTTTTGAGGCCGTAAACTTTACTCAAGCCTACGAACGACACAATAAGGCTGAGATAAATTCAATTACATTCAGCAAGCAACCCCAAACTATGCAATGGTACATTTATTGCCTGGGTTTGAAATATATTTTGAAACCATACTTTTTCCTTAGTTACACCTACGCAAGAAAAATAGACAAACCTAAACGTCGGTTCAATTTTTATCTTCGAATTCTGTCTGCCCCTTAAGTAGAAGAGAACCACCATGACTTGCAACAAAAGTTTAACCTACTTTACACGGTCAATACAGTCAATGCACAATGCTTGCTTCTATGTAGTTACATCGTATGGCATACACGGGAAAATGTTTGAGTTATCTATGACGATATGACTTTAAAAAGAAGGTTTTCGGGAGACGTACATGTATCTTTTGTGGTGATTGTTTTTAGCTACGAAAAAAAGCCACCATATAACACAAATAAGCTCACCTCTCATAGCCCAGACGACGAGACGAGAAGACTTTTGACCAAGCTGGTCTGTAGGGATTTCAGACAAGTAGACTAGTGATATAATTAAGGACAAAGGTCGAGGCATGACGTAACACTGTAAACCAGGCTGAACAAGTGTTTTATTCATGTATTCAAGAAGTGCAGAAAGTGACAATACTGCGCAAGCCTGAATTACTACTTGACCTTCAATGTCTGTCAAAGTCAATGACTAAAAAATGCACCTCTGAACTCTATTTCCCGTCTCCTCATTCTGCGGTTACATCATTCCCCCCTCACTTACTAAGGAAACACAGGTACGGGTGTCGAAAACAAAACCTCCATCTACGCAGGTAAATGTGATGCGTTATCTTACACTATAGCATTTCGTGTTCTCTTTTTAACCTCCTGTGCAGGCTCCAGGGCGAGTGGGAATTAAATTTGATACAGTGTTTTGAAGGTTTTTAACGCGGTCTTTAAATAGCCGGCCATTCTACAACCAGCCGCGAGAGAAGGTTCCATTCCGTGGGTAGCCTGCACAGGAGGCTATTCTCTTTTCAGGTTTGATCAAAGCCAAACTTTACCATTATGTCCATATACATATATAGGTACATTTGTAACTAGCAAATCGACTGAGGTGTCCGCTGTCTGCGTTGCTGTACATGTCGTCCTAACTTGTACCACTGATCTGGTACAAAACGTCCTGTAGGACAGATAGACGAAAAAGAAGGATAAAACATGGAAACTTGAAATTCTGTCTGCTATTCTTGCTTCTGTTATTCTTATTTCTGGATAAATTAATGCCTCAACATGACGTTTGATCGACCTGTCACATGTAACCAATTTCCTTCATTTACAAGTGTTGGCTTCAAATTCAAAACAAATGTTTGATAACTGGGTAAAAAAAAACTCTTTCTAGTTTGTACATGGTGTAGACAGGAACATTAAATATTAACAACTGAATCCACAAATTATTTTCTCACAACGTAGGGCAACGCAATATATGACAATATGATTTTACACGCCTCTGTAGCTGAACATATTTAAACTAAACATGACCAAACGTATAAAAATACGCACCAATTCTCTCGTTCTTTCCGGAATTGACGCAGTTGTAGAAGTTTCCTCGACTGTACTTGAAGACAACTGAAACCCGATTATCAGAGCAATGCTCAAACAAAACACCACGACAAGTGCAGCGACCGTCTGTCTCTCCATCTTTGTACACATTGGAGACCTTTCGGTATCGTCAGGACTCATAGCATTGCTCTCTATGTCCGCCATTTTGAATGCTGGTGCAATCCCCTGAAAAGGCGATAGGGGGCTCCCGTACGTTAAACCAACGAATATGTAATTTAGGGATTCAACTATCAATTCATGTACTAGTATTCATGTCCATGTGCATTTAGTCTACTACACCGTATAAACCTCAGATACGCAGGCCATTGGAAAATAAAATCATAAAGCCTTACCAGTTAAAACCCTCGAATACCAAGTAGAGTTTTTAGTAGGTAACGTTACGGTTACAACAGACCTCAATACAGCCTGGCTAGCTCACTAGTAGTTGATAAGTAACTTAATATTTGCAAGAACAACTTGGACGCCTGAATTAATGTCCCAGATGACACAAAGGCTATGAAACAACGGCATGTTCCTAGTAAGGACCCAGGGTTGGGCTGTTGGGGTAGTGGGTTGTTAATCCACTGTGCCCATCCCTCTCCTTCCACTGTCTTTTACCGCCCCAACCGAAGTAAGGGCCCATTTACACATGGGTGGAGTGAGGAAGGTTGTGGAAACTGTCATCGCAAGGAAACACTGTCTAGCCAGGAATACTCAATCAGGAATCGAACCCGTAACTTGTCGATCCAGTGTGCCTTTAGAAAGACTCAAGAGCAATTAAAATGTTGCAAATGTGTAAATTGATGATAACAGTATTCACTACCATACTTACAGTAAATGCGCGTTTGCAAGTCTTTTTGATAAACGCATTTATTCCCCTAGCATTTCCATATGTACAGCATTTAACTCTTCACCTTTGCACAAAATCATTTCCGTGACAACAAAAAAACTGCACATTCTTTTTACAAGTTTGCAGTGTTTTTTATCAGACACCCCCATCACTTGAATGGAACAATCCACTAACGCCTATCTTTACATTACACCAGAAGGAACCATTCTAAGCAGGGGGTAGTGTTTCAGTATCAACATGTTTTGTTAGGTTCTTAGCACACTCGAGCAGAAAATTTGTATTTCACAACACAATGGAAAATAATATGAAACTACCCACACAAGTATTTATGTATCAAAACAATTTTACAAGTTGACTCAACTAAAAAAGCCCCAGCACAGGACTATTGGGTTTTTACAACATGAAAATTTCTTTTACATTTGAAACATTTACAGTTGAAAAAAAAAGCTCTCAAGTATTGGACGGACATTTTTAACTGTATGACAGTAACAAACTTTCTAAAAATTAACACCTGTTTCGATTAGCTATGGTCTTATGTTTGGTTAATGAATTAAATCTATGTGAAAAAATTCATAATGTGAAAAATCATTCTTTTTCAATTCTAACTTCAGTAGACAGAAATAATAATAAAAATTGACATTTCTTTAGTTATCACATTAATGAGGTGACGTTTTCTATACTTTAAATTTCCATTTAAACTGCCTATCACAACATTATTTTCTTAAAATAAAGTGGGAGATAGGAATAAACACACAAATATATGGTTCTCGTTTGGACTATTCCAAAAAAAATCAGAGGGGTGCAAGAGATACTAAATAAATGTACACAAGATATGAACTTTCTCCCTGCTGTTATCAAATTGAATATAAATTTTGTGCCAAAATGCTGCCTTCATTTCAATCACAAAGTCTGTTTCAAAGTTAAGAATAGAAAAAAAATATTATCACAATCATGGCTTGGACAAGTTATTCCAAATTTGTCTATACAATGTACATGTATTAACTCTCTCCCTGTTAATTCACTGTGCTGTAACACTGTCTCACTGCAATGGTATGTCAACACAGCAGTTCACAGGTTAAATAATAATGCCACTGTAGCAAATTGTGACACATTATACATACTGTAAACATTTGATATTTCATCAACTATTTACACTTATATGTTGCTATCATCCACAAAATTTTTTGCACAAAAAGTTATTTGACAAAAATGTGTATAGTTTTCAAGCCACACACGCAATATATGAAAAAAAAGTTTTGTTTCCACAATTTGGCAGTGCAACTCAAAAACTTTTTTTACACCAAATGCATTACTTAAGAAATGAAAATGCTTTAAAAACATTTCCTGTAGTGTATTATAGGTGGATGAAAAAATACATACAACCCTGTGTTCATGTTTTGTAAAATAAAAAAAATGTATGATACTCTATTAGTGCCTGAGTTTCACAAATTTGAATAATTTTGCCAGATACTTTTTTTGTTCTCATATGATAAGAATGTATTACACTTTGCAATTTTAATGGACATAGGGTGGATTTAAACAGAAAAAATGTAATTATTCTTTATACATCTAGAGAAACACACACACTTATAAAGAAGACAAAAAAACTCTATCTATACATATCGCTTTCTATAGTCTTATGTTACAAACTGCTGAGGAACAAAATGACATAAAAACAATATATTTCCTTTCCTATGGTTTAGGAAGTGAAATATAAAAATGTTGAACAAGAAATTGTGCAACTTGATTCTCTTCATGTAACTTACTGAAAAGTCTGGGTACATTTTATTGTTCTGGATAGCAGTGCTTCTAATACAACAAGATTCATTCTTCGAGGATATGTTTCTATATGAGGGTAGCATTCTACTAAACTGTGAATTCATTTACTTTTGCGGTGGTTTTATTTCACTGTAGTAGGAAAAAGGTTATTTTCGATGAATTTTCAATTCACGGTTGAAACCTGTTTTACTGTAGTAATATGTTGCAAATGCATATCTATGAGCCCAAAAATAAAACCACCACAAAAGTTGGACAAGCAAAGCAGCAAATACATAGAGCTTAGTGGGGACAACACACTAACCTATTCAAACTGTTTTGAATCCCTAAGCACACGATGGAAAACAATTTTGAACAACTTGAATTACAAAAATTGTACAGCCTGAAATCATAACCACCATTTTTCATCTTCAAATTTCTCCTCCCCATGATTCCAAAATGGTTTCTTCCACCAGGCGAGGGTAACATCACTACAGTGCATGTACATGATTTCGGGTTATTCCATTAGAAATATGATAGGTGAAAAAAAGATTTCTGAATTTTCAGATCTCTTTCATTTAGCTTCCAGCATAATTTTTTCTTCGTCTCCCTATTCAAGTAAATAGTTCTTAAACTTTCTTCACTATCATTTAGTTAGGAAAGCAACATATGCAAAGCCTTTAGTTAGCAAAACTTGATCTCAGGTCATTTGACTGGGCGAGGCTTGAGGAATATTTTCCATTCTTTGTTTCCTATTTGCTGCATACCGTATTTACATTAGTTGTACTATTTTGCAGATTTTTTATGTTGAAAGCCACGCGTGGTAGGGTAGTGCATGATCAAACTGTAACAAAGGTGTAGACAGCAAAAATGTTTAACATTTAACCACCAGGTTATATACATGTACATATACATGCAGCTGCCACATTGAAAGAGTCTGTTTGAAAGATCTCCAGTGCAGCATCCACCAAGTATACAAACTATTATACAGAGGTGTGTTATACTGGGGGATGTTGTATTTGAGATCTCTATATATAGACACATTTCTTCAGGGTGGCAGATACATGTGTGACCAGACAAAAATATGAACATGTGCAAAACTAAGGAAACAAGCAACATGAGTTTCAAGCAAGGAATATCATTTGTCAAAGAGGTTTTCAACATCAAGTATTTCCTATGCCCTGTATTAAAGAAAAAAAAAACATTTCTGCATTCACATTTTTTTCATACAATCAAATTTTCACCAAACCTGATTTCAGTTGTGCCTAGGGCCATTGCAAAATGATCTATTTTATATTGCCATCATAGTAGGCATGAGATTCTATTGAACAGACCAACTACAATACTACAGTTAAAGTACAGTATTCCACAATTTATATAGTGTTTATGCCATATTGAGTGAAAAGTCCTTGCTCTATAGACTTACATAGCTCCTCATTTTATAACAAATCAAAAACAAAATAAAGTGAGCTAGAAAAAATAAAGTACTGGCTTTGCCATTCTCAAACTGTGGAGTGAAAATATTCTACAAATTGTAACAACGTCACCATATTGTAACTTTCCTTCATTTTTTTTACAATGATTTTGATATTCCCGCTATCTGGCGTTTATTTCCATGGGAACAGTTCCGTCGGAATTGCCGGTTTCCTCCGTGGGTTCTCTTAACGCGCCAGTTTGCCCCGCTCTCGTATCCTCGTCCGTGCTCGCTATCGTGTCCCTTTCCTCTGAAACCTCTCCCCCCTCGGGATGAAGTTGCACATTCCGTTTCAGCTCGCTAAGGTCACAGTTTGCTGTGTTCTGCTCGTCTGCTGTGGAAGAGTCCATCTGCTTTGTAGGGGTGACCTTACTTCCCGGTCTGGTGTCGACATCTGGCTTAGAATCTGCCCCGAGTTCTTTTGAAGCGTCCTGATCTGTAGTTACTTTGATCTCTACTCTTGTAGATTCTTTCTTCTGATCAGGGTCTGTTTTCTCCTCAGCGTGTTGATCAAGATCTAATTTCTCCACACACTGGGTTGCCTCGACGACCCAGCTCTCAATCCTTCCCGTGTCGAGCACGCGGAGTTTGGACGAGCTACACGACGTGTTCAACACGTCATCCCCGTCTTCTTCAACCACATCCGTCACCTCGCTCTCCGCTCCGTTCACCACCGTCGTGGCGGCCGAGCTGGTCAGGACGTCGTCATACGCCGGCGGGAACTCTGTGAGCTCCGAACGACGCGACTCCGAACCCGGGCCTTCTGACGACTCCGATTCCACGTCCCCCCTGTCAGAGTAACTCTCACTTTCCATGTTATTCTCACTTTCACTGTGTTCCTTTGTAGGCTCTGCTTTCATGACCTCCTGTTTGGGGCTCTCCACTTGACCTTTGACTTTTACCTCCTCTGTGACCCTTGCCTCTTCAACTTTGATCTTTGGCCCCTCGATGTCCCCATCATGCTCGGGGTGACACTCAGAGATTGTCTCGGACAGAACGCTGCTGAAGGAGACGGCAGAGGCGGCGGACGGGTTACGAGAGTGACCGAGATGAGCGGGGTAAATTGGCTGGCCGCTATTCCTCATCGCCTGCAAAAAATACAAGATCCATGCTTCACAACTCGTCTTGTAAATAATATTCTTAAAGTACCCTACTGCATTTGCAAAAATGTGTGGCCCAAAGGCTAACAAAGCAGAGATGGGTGCTGCCATATACACTATATGGTATGGGAATGATCTTCAGAAAATCAGTGAATGCCACAATTAAGATTGACCAATCATCAGTCACCTGTCATAACAACAAAGACCAATCAGATGACATTCTCAATTCAAACCGACCAATGGGCAATCAGTTCTCACCTGCATTTGCTCCCACTCCTGTCTGTAGATGGTGACCATGTCGATGTAGGCATTACGTGCCTGCGTGGTCAGCTCCACCATCGTCTTAAAATGTTCCTGCAAAAAAAAACAAGAAATTCTCAAAGAAACCATCAATAAACCACTGTATCAACCTTTCCAAATCTTCACCTTGATGTAATTAAATTGGGTATTATACCACTTCCTTAATTCCTCCACATACCACACATACATGTACTCCCATCCAGTGCATGCTGGGTTGCCTTCAGGCTTGACCTCCCTGTCAATCAATAGTCAAAACCACCTCCCATCCATGAAATCGTTGCTGCTCTGACATGAATCACAAGTCTGAGCCAAAAACTATAATTCCGTTCCCAGAATTACTATAATTCACTTAATGTTCGCGGTGGCAGTAGGTGCAGAAAAAACAAAGTCAGCAAACCATTTGTTCATGGTAATAATAATTTGGCGGTACAGAAGTGACCATGAAAGCAGCGAAGATAAAAGTACCACGAAAACAAGATGGATTACAGTAATTTTGTACCCAGAAGTAACGACTGAACTGAAGCCTCCTTACCTCTGCACCATCATAGTTGAAGACTCCCACCACACTGACTGGTACCAGTTTGTTCACAGCTCTGCCCAGGGCTTTCCTCCCCAGGGCAAACACAAATGGTACGTCCTGTTCCATACACAAGTTCAGGATGGTCTCTATAGCATCATCAAGACCACCTGGGGAAAACATGATAAAAACATTCATAGGGGGAAAACAAGAAGATAAAGACAATGAACTCACATTGAACAGAAAATAATTCAAGCTACTGTTTTTTTACCTGTACTTGTACATGTTTGGATGTTTTGTTTTCAGTGTGTCTGTGAGTTTCTGTTACAGTAGTTAGTGTACATAGGCACGCAGACACAAAGTAAGGTCAGAGGTCCAGGAAAAGGTTATTTCATTTCCTGTGTTCCTATCATAGGCATGTCTGTTGCCATATGAGAGCCAGTGGGAAAATGTAAAATATATAAATGCACAATAAAGAACAAGAAATTTAAAAACAACTAAGAATATTTCATAGATGAGATCTTAGTCTTCTTGTTATATCTTTAGTTCAAAGGAATGTGGACCATCCCTTGTAAGTTGTATCTGGTACCTACCTTTGGACTGTATTTTCTCCAGGTTTGGAGCAATTATGATGCATTTGAGCTTCCTCAGTTTCAGGTGCTTCGTGACCTCACGTAATCCCATGACAATACGTCTCTTGGCCTTGGCCTTGATAGGGTCCTGTGGAATCATCAAGCACAAATTTATTAAAAAGTACATCATATTTTCCTAATTCATAATCACTTTAAAAGTATGGCTCATCATACAATCATGTAGAGGGATTTTTACACACAATTATTCAGTTTAAGAAAAAAAGAGTGTCCCTGGCTTCGAGTTAATCATAATTGTGAAATTTCTCCGCTGTCTACCTGTTTTTGTATTATTTTAATGATGTATTGTACATGTTATATGGGTTTTTCTACCTGAAATAAAGAATGAATAACCACAGGCAGCAAAAACAAATAGCCCCACATTTGGCACCAGATACCCTGAAGCTGTCTGCACTTTTGGGGCCTGACAGTAAAGGTAGCATCACATTTGGGACCCACCTTATGGTACTGCCTGTCCTGAAAGCGGACCAAATCTTGCAGCAGCATGGTGACAGTAGCGTCGATCTCCTTGTCCAGGACTTGGTTACAGTATTCGCGAAAACGGCGGCTGTGGATTTTGGGTCCGATGGGCGAGGGCGCACACAGCGGGCTTCCCGTGCCGGAGGAAAGCGGAGATGCAGACGACAGAGGGCTGAAGTTGATTGGTGACATCGCCTGGCTCAGGGGTGAAAGTTCACTTCCTGTTGCGCTCAGGCTCATGGATCCACGGAAACTGTGGTCTGAAAATTAGAACAACAAGTCACAGTTTAATTAAAGGGACCAACAGTTGCAAGCAAATATAGGCTGGATTCTTTTTCATCTTTTCTAAAAATTAAATTGTTTAAGTTATGTGGTTGCGTGGATCTAAATATCTCTGTGTACAGAGGTTTTGTTTTCAGCGTGTTTCTGTATTTTCAAATTCTTACCATCTTGTGACAAGGCCCCATAATACTCCTCTTCCTTTGGTTCAGGTGCAGACATTGTTTTGGGCTCTGTAAAAAAAGAAAACAAATAGTCTACAATTTTGAAATGCAAGTCTTTGACTACTTTTAGCATGGCAGCAAGGCATTCAGTCTTATCAAGCAAAGCACACAAATTCATGTACATTTATCCTACAAATACATGTATACAGATAGAAGGGGTAACAGTCTGAGAGCATCTACTTGTACTGAAGCATTATAGTGCATTAAAGTACAAGATCTAGAAGAATGGTAACAGCACACAACAGTTTGTTTAAAGAATAGACTGTTCCTAACTGACTGCCAATCAAAATTACCAGTTTAACCAATAAGAGACTAGCAATTAGCAGTATAACCAATGACAGCGCAGCTGTCTGTGAAATATTAGCATTTTAAGTTTTCCTTTTACATTCCTAGAATCCTACATTTCAACAGTATAGGATCAGTCTATATGAGGTTAAATACAAGAATGGAAATGAAAGAAAAGACAAAACCTTGCAAAGCATGATAGCCACTGAAGCAAGCAGAAGAAAATTTTAGAAAAAGAAAAACACCACTGCAAACCAACCTTTTATTTATTGAATTACAAGCCTCTAAAAACAAGGACATTACTATACAAAATTGGACGTACCTTTTTCCCAATCATCATCATCATCATCATCATCATGGAAATCCTCCATTGCAGTATTCCCGGAGGATTTTGTGAGTTCTATTGGTTTAAGCGTGTCTGTTGTCGCTGCCGCGTTACCGTCCTGCGTGATTTGATCGAATTTGGCGGAAAGGGGGGAATTTGTGGCGTTCTCACCCTCCTGGGACGTCCCGCCGTCGGAGTCCTCCATGGAGAAGGGGATGTAACACGCGGTGCTGGACGGGACCTCGCCAGTCTCCGCGTCTGAGTGAGCCTGGTCCTCCATCAACTTCTGCATCTTCTTATCCTCACGCTCCTTCAGGATAACCTGGGGAATCATGGGTAAAAGTCAGGTCTTTCAGGACAACCTGCGGAATCATGGGTAAAAATCAGCTTTTTCAGGACAACCTGCGGAATCATGGGTAAAAGTCAGGTCTTTCAGGACAACCTGGGGAATTATGGGTAAAAGTCAGGTCTTTCAGGACAACCTGGGGAATTATGGGTAAAAGTCAGGTCTTTCAGGACAACATGGGGAATTATGGGTAAAAGTCAGGTCTTTCAGGATAACCTGGGGAATTATGGGTAAAAATCAGCTCTTTCCGGATAACCTGGGGAATCATGGGTAAACGTCAGCTACATATTTTGTACCTATAACAGTAACTATGTTTACGGAAGGAAAACATATTGTTTTTGCTCTGTTTCCTCTTCTTCTCCAAACCAAAAAGACCAAAACAAGTCTGTTACCATGGTAACTAGTGTTGGGTTACATCATGTTGCAATTTTATAGCAGGAGGGATTTAGACTCCTGTCTGACCACATACATAAGAATGTGTCTGCATGTCTGAGAAACAAATTGATCTCATCAAAATCATAAATTTTCATCTCAATTCTCTTAAGATTCTCTATTGTTACAAATCATATCTACATGTATAACAGAAGAAGACAACTATGGTTTAATGCTTTTACCTTCTTTAAGGCACTTGGTTTCTTCTTGTGTGGAGTCTCTCTCTCCTTGCCTCTCTTGACTAACGGAGCGTGGGAGTCCAGAGGGTTGTGAGGCATACTTACATGGGAAGCCTCCTTCTTACCACTCCACTGTTTATTGTCTGTTGTAGCAACTAGCAAAGAAAAAACAGAAAGAACAAATTACAACACTGTAATTCTATTGTCAGGTTATGTCTTGTTTGCAAGTTATTGTACTCTTTATGAACAGCAGCTGTCCAACTTGATCCTTTACCCTGAATAGGTGCTGTTCCTGTGGAGTCAGCAGCTATCTTGGCTGGAATATCAGCTGTCTTGAGCTTCAGCTCCTGCTGTTGTTTTCTATAAGGTTTTATGGACCCAGCTAAAATAAATGATGCTATGTAGCCCTTTACCTTGCACAGGTACTGTTCCAGTGGAGACAGCAGCTGTCTTGGCGGGAGCAGCAGCTGTCTTAAGCTTCAGCTCCTGCTGTCTCTTCTCCAGCGCCGCCAGCATGTCGCCCAGGTCCAGCTGCATCGGTTGCTTACTCTTCTTCCCGGACGCCTTCTTCTGAATCTCCTGAAGTTTGGACTGTTCCTGAAAAAACGACAAAAAAAAGGAACCAAGTGACTCACTGTAGGATTGGTAAAAATGTCTGTGTGTACAGAGGAAAAACCACAACAAGTACATGTACTGTAAAGTTTTGTATTGTGAACTTATAATTACCGTTAACAAATAATTTGCCACTTTCTTTTTTCTGCACCTGCCGGCACCGCAAAGGTATAGTTCCACGAACATGACATTGTCCATTTTTCTCAGACCTCGAATCTTTTGCTACCACAAACATTAAGTGATTGACAGTAACTGGTTCCTCCAAATCGCATAAATTTACCTGAGTGATCTCTGAATATTCCTCTGCAGCAGCCTTGGCAGCGAGAAGAGCCTTTTTCCTCTTCTTCCGGGCATTTTTCCCCTCTTTCTTCACTTCCACAGGAGTAGAGACTACAGTAGCTGGGTTCAGTGGTTCCTGGGGACCAGGCAACTGCTATTTGAAGGAGTAAAAAAAAGTCAAAATTAGATCCAACAGAACAATTAACATTATTGTACATGTACCAAAAATCCCTGAATCTGAGACATAGAAATGTTTTGAATGAAGACATAACGTTGCTAATGATGTCAAGCACAATTTGGTATGGAGTTGACTACATCAAATTTCTTACTTACTAGTATTCTGCCTATAGCTAATACTAGTAATAGTATGCATTTTTTCACTGGCCCAACAAGGCAACAAACATACACATACAGTAGTAGGAAGTTGAAGACAGGAAACAAGACAAACTTTTCTGGGACCTTTCATATAACTTCCTGCCCGCATCCTGACATCTCTAGCATGTAGAAATAATTACGGACACACACACACACACACACACACACACACAAACAAACAGACACTCCAAAAGTATTATTTCTTGCTATGCCTACCTTAGGCTGAGCAGCAGTCTGTAGTATAGCGCTGTATGACATGGGTGCCGGTGGGTTCTGGGTTGAAGACTGCTGCGGTGCCCCCAGGCTGGGAAACTCCATCTCATCATGGAACTGTAGAGACTCTGCGTCGCTACTGGCAACCGAACGGGGCGTAGAGGACGGCAGGGTCGAACCATCTAACTCTGGGTGCTGGGGGTGAGAGGCATTACAGTACCACATGAATATACATGACATTGTGTATAAAAAAATTATAGTTCTTGGGGCATTGGCAACACCTCTTCTAAAATATAGATATACGCTCCTAAATGCAAATGCATAGTTATTTTTATTGCGCCTTAATAGATTTTAATATAAATACTAAGTCATTAAGATAAGTGCCTAACCTTTTTTATACCTATTTACCCCAGTATAAATACCATTTTAAAACTTGTATGACTAAGGCAAAATTATGTGGAAATGTAATACTTGTACCGTCTTAAGTTTTAAGCTTTACATGTATACCTCCGTCACATTTTATCGATTGTAAGCGGCAGATCAATTCAGGGCCCCTTTACGGGAACCCTGCGACGCTGTACCGTAAGAATGTGGAGAATAAACCATTATTATTATACTATGTTCATACTGAAGGAAAATGTATTGTTTTTGCTCAGTTTTTTCCTCTTCTTCTCCAAACAAATAAGGTCAATGACCAGGACCAGACGTCTGTCACCATGGTAACTGGTGTTGGGTTACATCATGTTGCAAGTGCCATGCAGAACTTGAAATGGATATTAATGATCATTTAATACCTGAAAATGCTTCCTTCTCTTTCTTTATGAAAATCTTTCTACTTTTGATGAATGGGCAACATAATTTAGGAAGCAGACACTGCAGTCTGTTACATGTATAAAATTAGATGATACACATTAAATATTCATGACCATTTAATAATTGAATATTTGTTTTTCTGTCCCAATCACGTTTGATGAGTCATGATCACGACTGATAAAAAGTCTGATACAAAACAAAAGACAAACCTATGCATGAATTTTCTTCAAGGCACAATTCTGTAACTAGTTTTGCAGCTTTCAAAAATTAACTGTAACAAGATAGGTTGTCCATTCTTCATCAGATATACAATGTAGACCATATTTTGATGGGAAATATACTGTAAATTCTAAAATTTGCAGTGGTTTTATTTTTGTTGTTTGAGTTTTTGCAGCGACCAATAATTACAAATTCAAGACATCACTAAAATGTGTCCTGTTCGTATTACTTACTGACTATACAGAATTGTTTCAACACCAAAAAAAACTCGTTTTCCCTCCTACCATGAAATTAAACCCTGGTAAAAATAAATAGATCTACGGTAGTCTCACCTCCTCTCTTTCCCTGCCTCCACTGTTCTTTGGTGATCTCTTTCTCTGTCTCCACTTTCCTTTCGTTTCACCAGGGGGTGGGGGCGGTGCCTGTCCCCAGACCCCCCTCCCCCTTCCCCTCCCCCTGGGGCTGGCTGTTTCCTGTCGGATCATGGTTCCCGGGGGTGGTGGGGGGTGCGTCAGCCCTACGTGAGTGTTATGAGGGTGGGCGAATCCGTAGGCTTGGTAGTAGTGCGGTGGGATGTAGCCAGCATAATCTAGTGGGGCACCAGGCTAAAAAAACAGAAAAAAATAGAACAATTTATCAAAACATCAAAAAATGCATAATACGAGATATAAATAATGACTCAACATGAAAGAATTAAAACCTTCACATACAGATGTACAGTTCCTACAAGCTTAAAATCAAAGCTACATGTACAACATATTATACAGCAAATTACAAAATTAATTTAAAAGTTACTGGTAACTATTCAATCTGATGCATTTGATAATTATGTAGATCTTCAGATGCCAGTTCAAATACTTAAATCCAGTATAAATTTGTGAGAAGACTACATCAAATCCTACATTGCTTGGAAAACTCTCTTTCTTTCACATCTACATGTATGTCACACAGTCCTTATTTAGGTTTAGTCAACTCGGACCCCCACAGTGGCTTATGAGATTTGTCTTGTGGTCACCAGTGGGAAATTCAAAGTAAAACAAGACTTAAAGGTTCAATAACAGGTGACAGGTGAAATGAGCTAGGGAGTAGGGCATTCAGAAGGTGTGGGAAGGATTCTAACTAACTTAACTAAGGTTCCAGGATTACCTGTTGAACAAAACAAGTCCCGGTGGCGGCCTCTGATGTACTACTGTTCGCGCTCTGGTTCCTCCCGTGTTTGGGACTACTGTAGCCAGAGTCGCTGTCGATTCCGCCCTCGTCTTCTTCTGAGTCCGTTGACGACGGGTCCTGTGGTCTGCGACTTGCCAGCCGGCGCGCTTTGGACTTTCTCAGCAGCGGACTGGGCTTGTCTCGTAAGGACTTGTCTGCAATATCGTCTGGGAAATCTGAGGACAAAAATTCATGTATCATTAGCTTTTTTTATAATTTTTTTTTCGTTAACATCATTCTGTTATCATTCTATTTCTGTCCGCTCCTCCGATTGTGTACAATGGTTTTGTTTTTCGTGTGTCTGTTTTTCGTGTATTTGCTTGTGCTTGCTATGGGACACTGACAGGAAGTTAGGTCAAAGGTCCCAGAAAGGTTATCCCATTTCCTGTCTTCAGTTTCCTGCTACAAGTCAGTTGCCTTTTGGAAGCAAAAAGACATACAAAACAGAATCAGTAACAAATTTACAATAATGAACAAAACAAGAAATTTCATATCATAACTGACATAAGAACTTGTGAAAACTTTACCTGTTTGCTGACTAGCATCCACTAGGATGATAGTTCTATGTCTGTTGTGGACAGGGCTGTTACTGGACGCCTCTTTCTGGACAGCAATGCTCTTAGTTTGAACTGACCGTGAGCCACTTCTTCTTCGAGTCTAAAGAAGAACACACAACAATCTTAGATCTTGTCCTAAGATTACTTCTAGAAACTGACAGCTAGCATTTCATTTAATCAAGTTAATGTAAACAGTGACATGTGAAGAAATCATTATCGGTAGTACAAGTCCTTGGAGAAAATGTCAACAGTCAGTAACTCCTGACAAAAGTCAAAGATAAATGTTGTCATGCAAATCTAAGAAAAATTTCAGACATACTTTTAGATATCAACCTCTTGTTTCAATAACTTGAGAATTACTGATACAAAAGTTTAAAAGTATGCAGAAAGAGCTACAGTATTACAAGGATTAATTTCAAGGGTTTAATAACTACTTTCAATAGTTTTGGCCATGGAGGTCATTATTGGCATTATACACCTGGTCACTGACCCATCATAATACAAGGTCAGGTGCATTATTGGCAGTTATTTACCTTCTGTTTTGTGACCTGTTGTGTTGGAGACCTGGTCCCATAGGGGGGTGGGTACAGATGAGGGGGAGGGGGGTACCCTGCATACAGGGGAGGGGGGTAAGGAGAGGGGTGAGGTAGAAACGGTCCTGGTGGTGGTGGGGTATTGTGAGGGGGGTAGTAGTGTGGGAGGGGGGGTTGTGGTGAGAGGGGTGGGTAGGGGTTGTACTGGGGGTTGGGTACAGAACTTGGCCAACGGACCTCTTGAACGTAACCCTCACTGCAACAGAGAAGGAAAATACACAACTGTATATGTCTACTAAAATATAATTGTTTTATGCTAGTACGTGTAGTTGTGATTTTATGGTTAGGCTGTTTAATTTGTTGGTAAATACAGTAGTTAAAAAGTCAATAGTCAGAACGATCGTAAATAAGCATGCAATTCAGCCTATGTCTGTGATATGCTTTTGTTACCCATTACTAAATTACGAGATGCCTTCACTTGAATACAAACAGTGGTTGGGTTTTTAAAATCAGAAAAATTGGCTAGCCATAGATTGAATGTTACGAAGTAAGACATACTATTAAGTTTAATACATGCGTGTTTGTTACAAATGAACAGGATATATCAATACTACATGTAGGCCAGTTTAACAGTACATGAAGGAAAATCAACAAATAAAAACTGGTCAACTGTAAAGTAATGTAAGAAATTGACAAAACAACAAGTCCTATGTTACGTACGTTGTCACCTCTGGAGGCTGTACGAAGGGGTAACAGGACGTGACATATCTGGGCAGAACGTGCGGCTGGGCGCCCCCGCTGGGGTCAGAGGTCGGGAGAGCGAGCGCCGACGGCACGAAGGGCTCCACCTCGGCAGACAACTGGCTCACCTGTAAACAAAAACAACAACAAACAACACCATCGTTAATCTGGCAATTTTCATTAAAACAACATGTTTATCAATCTGCAAGATTTTCGAATTTATCAATGTAAAAAAAAACATCACAATAGCAAACAAGTTTCAACAGTCCATTTATTAGATTGTGATTAAGCATTTAAAAACCTGACTACAAAACTAAAAAAACTAAATTATACATTTATATATTATTTATCATATAAATTAATGATCATATTTGCCAAAAATTACAGAAAGACAAAACAAGACCAGCTTTTTTTCTCACCAGGAGTCCACATGTAACATTTGGTATTTATTTTGCTTAAGGTACAAATTCCTTCCATTAAGGCTAAAGGTCACAGAACTACTAGTTATCTATGTTTGCTTTACCCCCTACTTCTTTGAAATACTCTCGCTGTCTGACTTTTAGTAAGACTAAAAGATTTCTTTTGCCACAGTCAGTCTCTTATCATTATTCATCATGTATTACTGTAACTTTATTCATATTTATTGCAGGAATTTAATTTTCCGTTTAGAGTGTTGAAGAGGCACTGCAATTAAATACTTACAATAAAATACATGTATATTTGTACTTTACAAAATATATATCCAAACCCTCTTTCAAACCTTCCACTCTTGACATACATTGTAATGTATCTGAACATATAACTTACAAGTACATGTAAATCTACTTACATGTACATTAATTGTATCCTAAGAGTAAGTCATATTCCACAAGTGACTGTTAGACATAAAAGTCAACTATAAGCATTAATATACTGTACTATATTGTAAGCACACTTACTACTGGTATCAACACATTTCTACCTGTATCTATCAGATGTATCTTATACAAGGCAAAAAATTAACTGAAAATTCTAAAAAGAATTGAGAAAATGGTGAGTGAGTCATATACACCAGTATATACAACACCTACCTGGCTAGATGATGAAATGACCTCAAATGGACAATGGTTAATTTAGTGACCTGGTCAACAAATTTAGCAAACTGACCAAAGGTCGCAGCTAAGTGTGATATAATGGTTACATGTCCTTCTCATAAAATTGATTATTAATAATATTTAATTTATAGGTCCTGCTTCTAACAATGATGTTGACGGATTTTAGAACATGACCTTCAAGACTTTATTTTTGTATTAACAAGAACCAAGGACATTACGTACATTGTATCAATGGGTATAGGTCCTTGAGTATACATGTATGGGTAATGTTTTTAAAATTATATTTCCAACTTCCAATTGCAAGATATTAAATTTTTCACCAGGATATACATGTACTGAACAAATGTGTGACAAATGCTTAAATTGGACATATTTTTGAAATCTTAAGATTTTCTTCATACAATGTAGCAAGGTGGTCTTGTGGTTTGAGTTGTTGACTCAGAATCTGAAGGTTCTGGGTTCGAATCCCTAGCTGTTGTGTCAACGTCCTTGGTAAAGGCACTTAAGTTCTTAACACCTATTTCTTCTCTCGACTTATCTCTTGTAAGTATCATCATTGAAGAAAGAGTCAAACAAGTCTCTTCTTAAACCCTTAATTTTCTTAATCTCACCTATTGTTGTCATTCACCACAAACTACTTATATGTTAGTTACCTAGTTCCTACACATGTACAGTGCTTGTACAGTACTGTACCTACAATTGTGTTCGCTGAATTCTTCAACCTCAATCTTTTGAAATAACAAATATTACTAGCAGATTTTAACACTAGCATATACTATCTAAATAACCCATGATATATATTGATTAACTGGTGTAATGATAGTTATTTCATCTTCAAGTTATGTTACTATAGAAACAGTTACCAAGACAAGATACTGATTGACCTACTTAAGAAAACGTTGTCACCCTTTAAGGAATTGGATACAAAAATCGTACAAAAACCAATTTGAAAGTTTAAGTAATTTGTGAAAGTAATTTGTGTGAAAATAGTGATATCCAAAAATGCAATTTCAACAATATACAAGTAGTTATATATACTAGTAAGGCAAAAATGAGAATATATCTTAAGAAAGCAGGATTCCTCCAAATTAGACAATCTAAATTAAGAAAAAAGGAGTCTTACTTTGTAGTACTGTAATATTGTTAATTACTAAATGCATTTACATAAACCTTCATGGTGGTTGATTTTATGTTGGAAGGAAAACGAGTTTTGCACATTGTTTGAAGTTTGCGGTTGAAACGATTCTGTAGAAGAACTATAAAACCCATATTTACTGTACATAGTCCACAATGATCTGAAGCCAAATTGATGAATACCTTTAAACCACAGTACAAACAGGACAACTATCAGTATGTCTGTGTACAGGTGTATTGTTGTGGGGACGCCCAGGTGATGCCGTCAATATTTACCTGTCGGGGTCACCTGGCTTTTGTTGTGAAGATCCAGACAAACAATAGGACAGGTCAACAGTGACCAGGTGATTTAACAGTTCACACTGGGTTAAGCGTTTTCGGCACTCATTTTGGCTACTGAGTCATGTAAATTGTACTTCTTTCTATGCTTCACGTAACAATTAGTTAACCACCTTTACCCAGTTCTGTACTAATAATACTTAAAATAGATACACGCTGCGTATATGAAAGCCCGGTCTGTAAGGTTTGATTCACAAACACTTATCTTTTTTATAAGTGTGGTGGGATCTTAAACGTCCTTGAGGTGTGGCACTCCTCAAATATGAGACTTTGACTTTGTACATTACATATCTTTACATGTCTTGACATTCGTACTAAGATTTAGTTACTACGAGTATGAATACAAAAGGGGCATGTGATACCTACAGGCTACATGTGTGGCAAAAACAATGACAAGTTGAACAAAAAGGCCTTTAAACAAGTTGCCTTTGTAACAGTAAATAATTGCAATTGCCATCTCTTACAGTGTCAATGACCTTTAATTTAATCACCCATTGCAACTACGTGCCATAGTACATGTACATGTACTAGTATGTATTTTACAAGGAAGGTATTCTTACTCACTAGTCTTAGTTTTAGAAATAAGGAGCTAGTAGAGGTTAAATAAGTAATACTGGAAGAAATAGCTAGGCTTCAGATCCTGCTATTAGTCAACAATCTTAACCAAAAGACCACCTTGCCATCTTATAATTACAATTTTCTTAAAAATAAGATAACATTCCCCTCACAAGGGAAGACCAGTATCCTTCTATGCCATCAATTTGCCACCATAAAAATATCATAAGACAAATGAAACTTGCTCGTAATATTACGATTTTATGAATATTTTGCCATGTCAACACAATCATCTTGGACACATCATAAAATCCCCATAGTATTTTTGCACGACCTTCAATTCCATTATCATCTTATCATAGCCATAAAGTAACATTTGACAGCCACACAATTAAGAATTGTTCCTTGTGAGATCCTCCACTTTCTAAAGAGTTCTTGAATTATTAATGACTTTTTTTCAGGGTGATCTTTGCGTAGACTAATCTCATAACAATGCAGTCTTCAGGTATTGCAAGAAAATATGTTGATCTTGAAATATTTGCAATGGTTTTATTTTCGCTGTTTTGCAGGTGCCCCTCCTTGGCAAATTGATACTGTAATTATGTTTATGTTCTTTTTGACTATTGTTCCGTTTTGACCCCAACATTAAATCCCAGCAAAAATAAATGATTTTTACAGTATGTAGTGTTTTGAGCAAGGCATTATTTTTTTTATCAATGTTATGGACAGGTTATATTGCTACTATATTTGACTATATATTACACAGCTATATTTTGGTACCGAGACTAAGTAAATATTGTGTCAACTGCTAAAAGGTTATACAAATGACAAAGTCTGCGTATGATATTTTTATTCAAAATATCATACATGAGCTACAATTTTCTCCCAGGCATCCGTTTACATGTTGTTTTCTCTCGCTAAAGTTGTAACTTAACCTTCAGTCTGCTAAGGTTGCTATTTAATTAGCACCAAATTTGATTTCTAAGTTAGGTAGCAGGGAGAGGGTTAGTCTGACCAAGGAGGTTATACTGACAGAAAAGAAAATACCGTAAATTTAAATGACTTTATGTTTGCGGTAGCAAAAGTTTGTGGTCTGAGAAATATGGACATGTTTGCGGAACTATACATTCGCAGTGGCGGTAGATGCAGCAAAAGAAAGTCAGTAAATTATTTGTTCACAGTAAGTAATGTTAAGTTTTGGTACAGAAGTGACCACGAATATAAGAGTACTACAAAAATCGTGCTTTAGTAAATTGCTGTGGTCTTATAATAGTTATATATTTTTTCTGTTGTTGTCTAAACTTCGAAGACTTCTATTATACGGTAACCTTAAAATTCTCTGGAAGTGTTTTTCTCAAATTCAGTACGAGCAAGTTCTGTTTAAAAAATGACGTGCAAGGAAAAGGTTATTTCCATTATCTTGCACAGATGAGATCAATCGAGATGGAAGATTCCGGGCCTGGCATTTGCAATGACAAAGAAGGACTGCTCGTTTAATGTCGGGGACATCAAATATTAATCATGCAATGATGCGGACGTCACAAGTTAATGACATTCTAATATCGTTCCATCTTTTGAGGAAAATTAAAGATCTATTTGTCAATATACGGTAGCTGTGAAAAAAAATCCCATTGGCAAATTTTAAGACTTGTATATATTTTGTCAATGACAAGAGCAGCAAGATTTTGTTTTTCTCTTCAATATGTGTACTTTGTTGTGTTTTACTTCCTTTAAAAAAATTAGCAATTTTCTAATCTCAAAGTCAAAGTGGTTTTGCTTCACCAGATAATAAAATAGTCCATCTTGTTGATTTTGCTTTCTGAATCGTTGTGTAGATAAGCTCGAAAATCGTTGATAATGATCGAAACTTATCGAAAACAGTACTGGCATGATCATTTGTTCAAACCTTACACTAAGTTACAGTCTGGTCTTTCATGTACTATACTATACTATTAATATTTTTAATCATAATTATGCATGTTCCTTGTACATGTAACTACTACTACCATGATGTGATATACCCACAGGTATTTTACCGGAAATGTGAAACAAAAAATCTACATTTTGCCTAAATTAAAAAAAATATTTCCGCATGTACATGTAGTATGTACATGTTACATTGCATTTAAAACCCTGAAATGGAATTTTGTTATTCATTACTTTGCTTGAATGCATTGTCAACAGACGTGTATTGTTAGAAGTACCGGTGACCACGTATCATGCAATCAGCAAATAGTTTAGTAACTGTTTACGTTTGAACTGTTTGGTGTAAATGTTGTGGTGGTTTCGCACCTTTGACTAAATAAACGCTACCTGTTTTTGTTTTCATAGACAGTGTCCTAACAAAAAGAATTATGCTAACTTTTTCCTGCAATTTTTGAAAAAATTTATCTGAAAACTTTAAATCTGTTTGTATATGGCTTTTGAGTCAAGTGTTTGCCAATAGAAATCTTATAAACTACTGTCAATCTTTTTTCAAATGTTTGCAGTGGGTTTGAATTTTTACTGCGACTTTTTCACCATGAAATTATACAGGAACGAACGGGTATTCTGCGTGTGAAAAATTTGCATGTAAAAACTTGCGCATGAAAAATTTTAGTGTGAAAAATTCAAGTCTTTTAAATATGTCAGAAAATATGCAGCACCAAATTCTTAGGCAGAAAAATGTGACCCAGTGATTTAAGTTTTCATCTAAAACTAGTAAAAGCTGAAATTTTGTTTGAAACCCTCACGATTTTAGGTTTAAGGAATAGCTTAATTTGGATACCTAATACGAAAACTAAATATTTGAAAATTACTTGAATTTGCTACAAATAAATGAAAAATTTACTGTTATTACTATTATAAGGACTTAATATTGTAAAATGTAACAACTTAAGGCTTTAATTTTCGCTTGGTTTCACATTTTCTCTAACTTCTATCATGCGCAAATTTCAAGCTGTTTTGCATGTGAAAGCAGAACTCTATGTTACTCTTAATAATCAAACGTAACATTAACTATGTATTAATGATTTTAAGGGCAATCAAAATCTCACAACATGTATCATGTACATTATTGCCTAAGCAAGTTGATGGTATTATAATTCAAAGCCTACTCAAACTTTTACTTTTTTAAAAATCATAATCACCTCTGTTGCAATAAACCAATAAAATCATTTTCTTGCAACAGAAAGAAGTAAGATTATTTGTTAGAAAATTATACGAAGTCCTGCCATACCAAACTGATAAGCTACATAGCTATGAAAATAATCATAAGAAAAAAAGACACAAGATCAACAAAATGTTCTAGTAAAGATCTCTTGTGTGTATCCTAGTACTTGGATCACTTTTCGGTGTTCAAATTATTTTAATCATCCTCATATTGACCTAAAATCCGGCAATCTCAGCTAACACTGACCCCGCCCAATCGTACCATTTTCCACAAAATAACGCCCCCCTCCCCACTTGGCTACAAAATTATTTGCTTCCACTTACACAAACAGTATTCTAACGAATCGGCATGAATATTTTCAGCTAAAAGCGTAGAAGATTATTGAATATGATACGTTCTTTGATCGTAATAAGGTGTATGTGTCCTTTGAATAATAAATTTTGAGCTGAGAAGAGATGTTGTTACTAAGGAGTCCTACGACCGGCCAAATTTTGGTGCATGGTGGCAACCAACCGCCACCCCAAACTGAAACTAGTGCGATTTTCTAGAAACAAATATCGGTGCACGAGATATTTCTTGCTGTTGAAAGGAAGGTTTTAAGTTTAGGATTTGAAAAGGAGTTGTGAGTAAAATTTGTGAGAGATAATTATGTCATGCGTCAGACGACAGTGGAAACAGTCACGAACACACACCGGTCTTCCGATAACACACGCCATGAAAAAACTACCCCCCAAAACAGACGATTTTTACCCCTCTAAACTCACCTGAGAGGCGATGTTCTCACCATGAGACATTTATGGAGGCCTCGGTTGTCCAACCATCGGAGGAAAATGTGTCAATGTTCGCCCAAAATGGTAAAATGTGGTCAATTTTCCCCAGTTTTCTTCCAAGATATCGTAAAACACAGCACTGGTACAAGCCGGAAATCGTGACCCTCCGTCTATCACGTGATCAATATCCAGCGCTGCGATTGGATAAAATCCATTTGAGCCTTGGCAAAATACTAAATGTAACAGAATAACTTTGACTTGAAATTTCAAATTGTCAAAAAATATTGAGATGCGCGATTTGTGCTGGAAATAAACTTGAATAATTTCCACTAACTGTGTAATATAACCTAATGATATATATATTTTTTGCTAATCTGTCATAAACTTTTGAAGCTGAGAAAATCCTTATTTCTACGTCAAAAGTTGCATTTTCATGGCAGGCTACGCAAATGTAGATAACATGTAGTAGATATATATTCTGGCTTTTTATGCTTTATGAACCAACATATAGAGAAGTTTATAACAACGTTACATCAAGTCCTGAAGAATAAGAACCTCACGTAATTCCGTTTCACCCATTCCAGTAAATTCCTACTTTTATACTATCTTCCTGGGCGGATACACCTGAGCAAAATCAGCTGAAACTTTGCAGCCAACTCTCCAGTTTCAGTTTCTTCCGCTTCTTGTTTTAGACCAAGACAGCGCATTAGGCCAAACTTATACCCCATTTTCTTGCATGCAATGTTGTTGTACATCGTCAAAACGGGCGATCAAAACGACAAAAGCGCCACCCGGTGTCTGTCGCGGCTACTGTTTACGCCTTGTTTACAGGTGTTACCGTAGAGATGTGATAAGTGCTATTGTGTCTTTTGTGTGAAGGCCGCCAGGGTAGGTACCGGTGTGGGCCCTGTATATACAGGTACGCAACACCGTCAGGAGAGTTTGCTCTCTCTGGACAGACTGTTTAGTTTACTCCCCAGGCTATTGAAGTTGGCACGGTGTATAGACGTTAGAACGATGCAAAGGAACCTCCCACAGTTAGATTTTTAACGGCCATATTTTTGCTGACTACGCAACGATTCCCTGGCGATGTTTTTTTAATCACGTACGTTGAAGAATAAAGTGGGTAGCCGTAAGAAACTACCGGCGTAATATATGACCTCAAACTATGCGACTTTATTACTGTGCTGCACACACACTGACTTAACACTTTTTTCCTTGACAAGGTCCCTTTCACTAGACGCAAAAGCTGATAGAAAACTGGTTTTTTTGTGACTCTTGATTTTACAATTGGAATATGATTCATGATAAAACAATAAAACACACAAAATAAAACACACAAAATGTAAAATAGTTTGTTCTGTAAACTTCTTTTGCAAAATCTTAAAAACAAGCTTGTCTACATGGTGCATTAACACAAAGCAGAAAAATGATATCAAGACAAAACATGCTACTTTCTTTATACTATACTAGTAGTTAAGAATCTTGCTAGACAAATTTCTAGTGCACATGTGGAAGCACTATTGATTGGCTTTTAAACACAATAAAGTACATTTTCACCACAGACCAACATTGCAGAACTCATATATTTTTCATTAACACTTTAATTAAGTGCCATGAACACAAAATACTGGTAGTCAAACCAACACTGAACATACAAGTTTTACTTTAAATCACAAAATCTGAACATCATCAAACACATAATAACACAATGGTGCATCTAGAGGCTTGTTATTGGTACTTGTTGTACTTCTTAATGCCTTAAGCACTTTTCCTTACGTTAAGAGGATCATGAAGTAGTTTTCTTCTCTCTCAAGTCTTGGCATCTTTGAAAATGTACTTGTCCACAAAAACCAACTTGTGTCACAGAAATTTACCTAGTACATGTAATTATACAGTAGTACTGTACTCCATTTTAAGGCATTTAAAATAATTTTTACCCCTGGTTAGGGATTTGTTTTCAGTGTGTTTGCCTGTGTGTTAGTTGACTACATTAGCATTACAGGAACTGACGATGGAAATGGTGTAACTACAGACTGACAGGAAGGTCAAATTGGTCTGCCTGCAGGCTGATGGGAAGTGCCTTTTACAGTGGAGAAATGCAGTAATAAAATAAATAAAACAAGAAATTCACAACAACTATAAATGCAGCACAGAGGTGTGAAATAGTTGACTTCTTGTTCACATTGAAATACCTTCATCTATTAATCTTTTAATTTCCATGTTTTCCCCTTAAATCGTTATTGAAATCTACTTACTACTAGTATACGAAAGCAATTGTATACATGTAAATGTATGCAATAAATATTTGTACCACCCATGATACATTTAGCAAGAGTTGTAGGGTGAAAGTTGCATATTTTTGCTAACAGTACTGTTGGAAATAGTAATACTGTTCTTTATTTCCCAACATTTGGATGCAGGTTTTGCCTGATGAAAAGGGCCAGGGAAGTTGTTGCCTTTTCACTGTACTTCCCCACAAAGGCTGGAGCAGCTGACAGACCGGAGCAAACCTTCATCACACCTGCGGAGAAAGCAGGGAATATGTACATCAGCGACATCTAGCTATTATGACAAGAACTGCATCCAGAATCTATGTAGTGACACAGAAAATTAACTAAGTTGACAGATACATGTTATGTGATCTCAAGACCTCCTTTCCAGTGACTGTGGACATGTGTAAATGTACCATTTTATTCCAATACAATATACATGTAATAGTATTCATATACAATACAATACAATACAATACAATACAATACAATACATTATACATGTAATACAATACACAGTAAATCTACATTTTTTCCTGTGAAACTTACCAGAATTCCAAGTGTTTCTCGCATTCTCAGCCATCTGTTCTGTACTGGGAACCTACAAGAGGCATACATGGTCAGTCTTGAAGCAGCAATAATATCTTTAAGCCTTTCAAATATTGTTTTATGAAAAATCATAAGAAGCCCTTAAAAACAAAGACACAAATAACATATTGTTGTCATTCTACATGTAGGATAACATAAACAAGCAGAGAACAAATACAAAACTTGTGGAAATAGCTAACTTAAGATGGCAAAAAAAGAAAACTACAAAACAACATTCAAGTACATGTATTTCTAACATTCAACATGTTCATTGAAAAGAAAAAGAACCATACAAACATTCAATTCACATGAAGACAACAGCTTAAAATTTTGAGTTACAACTTGTGAACCAGCTTATACAATACTGAGCTATGCTAACCTGCACATCACCCAGTCGCTGAAGCCATGGAAAGAAACAGACACAAAGCACAGGATGAGCTAGAGACGAAGAGAGCTAGTGCACAACTACATGTACTAGATGCAAACAAACATAACAATATATATTATGGTGGCACCCTTTGCATACATAATAGCTGTTTACAAGTTTTTTTTATTGTTAATTTTGCATGACGATGGCCTCTTAGACTGAGAACATTAAGAATTTGTTATAGGTAAGGAAATAGAAACACAGCACTTTTCCTGAAGGAGACTTCACACTGCATGCTTCAGAAAATGGCTCAAATAAAAAATAATGTAGATAGCTAGTTGAAGGTGTGCTAGTATGGGGTTAGGCAGATGGTTAAACATGCATGCATTGTGTAAATGATATCTGTGATTGTGTGTGAAGTATATTTTGTTGCACTCACCTCCTTGACATATGGTGGTTGCTTAGCGACCAGCTGACCACTGAGGCGGGTCAGGGCCTTGGTGCTCTGTGACCCTTCACCCCAGATGCCCTGGTCATAGGTCACATACAGGGCACCTCCACCAATCACAATCTTTGTTACATTCCTGTGTAGAATTAAATGAGAGGGGAACAAAATACTGTGAAATCATTTACCTTCGTGGTGGTTCTATTTCACTGTAGGAGGGAAAAGGAGGTTTTTGCTGTGTTTTGACTACATGGTGAAACAATTCTGTAGTGCAGTAATAGTGCAATGGAAAATTATTAATTATGTATATTCACTGTGTCATGAATTCAGGTTGGGGAAGTCACTGTGAAAATAAAACCATCACTACAGTGTACAGTGTACCTTAAGATACCCATTCCCCATTTAAGATCAGATTCAAATTTCTAGCAGACTTTTAAACCTTTAGAAGGGGGATTTGAAAAAAGAGTATAAAGGTAAGTGGGGAAAGTCTGTAGCTTGCATATGATTCACACACACTGCACAGTTCTATTCTAGGGAGCAAGCCCCCCCCCCTTCCCATCACTGTTTTCACGTTGGCCTTTTTCAGAACTTTACACTATCATTTTGTACCACAGCTACTTATAGAGGCCATCGAAAATATATGTACAGCACTACACTTACAAAACACTGGTGAAATCGCTCCGTTTGCGGGAAAAATATCAACCACAAAACTTGACAAAGAAGACAGAAAATCCGAAGGGAGGTAAAACGTTTACGCAAACCATGATTTCAAAGCGAAAACGTAGAATAACGTGCATGAAAATTTGCAGGGTGGTTCCTTGATATATATATATACAAACAAATGTGAGCATATGAACGTTTAAAAGGGAACAAAAACCAATAAAATTGAACAAAACTTCGTCAGAAAGACATACTTCACCAAGGACAGCGCCATCTTGGATCTCCAGCTGACCTATGACCCCAAGTTGACCTTTGGGCCTCACTCTTCAGGTGAACCTGATGAAACGGACTGGGTCAAAGGTCTTCAGCCTAACTTGTAAAACGACATTCAACCTTCAAGCCTAAGGGTGCCTGGATCTTTTCAACGTGATGTGTACATATAGCTAGTGGATAGTTGAAATAACATTTTGCCCCCTAACATCTGCTTGAACATCTAAGTCCAGGTAACAGGTGTAATGTACTGTATAATTTTGTGTGTGTAACATCAACAGTTTGGAGGGAATTTGTTGAATGGTTTGGCTTAGTTACTGATCTATAAGAAAGATTCTAGTGTTGATTTGGTGTTGGTTTCATTGAAGCTGCAGTCATTTGTTTGTTTGTTTGTTGCTGTAGTATAATCCAGTATATCACTTACCTAAGACAGCTTTAACTTTTAAGTACTCATTGGATATATAGAGAATGTCTACGCAGGAATTCGAAGCTAAATTCCTTTTGGCTTGAAAGATCATTACACTATACTCGCACTTTCACTAAATATTGATAGATAATACAGAATAGGAATACTTTATATTTTGTCTCCTGTCACAGATGGCAGGACGGACATGGTTGGCTATTTTGCTAGCTGCTGTTGTGATTTGCTATATTTACTTTGACGGCTATGACCCAGGTAAGTGTCTGTCAGTGCATGTTGTTATATCAAATTCTGTATTGAATTTTCTTTAAAGTCTTCATGCATTATCTATATTGTATAGATTTATTCAAAGAAATCAAACAGTGTTGTTTGAGGCTAAAATGTTTTGTATCAAAGTTTGTATCAAAGATTTTAAACCTCCTTGGTAGTAATAAAAAGACCACAAAACAATTGGATTTTGAGCACACTCAACAGAGTTACTAAATACAAGGTCAACTAAATTCCATGTAGAATCCTTGAGGGGAGCCCGAGTCATTGTGACGGGCTGCAGTACCGGTATCGGGGAGCAGATGGCGTACCACTACGCAAGGCTGGGGGCAAAGGTCATCATCACAGCTAGGAGGGAGGCACGACTTAAAGAGGTAAAGTTTTTAGAAATAATTTGTATTATAAGACATTATCGGGACAACAGTGCATGTATTATTGTAACACAGGAGACACTATTTGGTCCACCCTGTATTTGTCCAGGTTGTAGCTAAGATGAAGGACCTGGGAGCCCATCTATGTAGCAGGAGACATTATTTCTGGTCCACCCTGTATTTGTCCAGGTTGTAGCTAAGATGAAGGACCTGGGAGCCCAGGAGGCCATCTATGTAGCAGGAGACATTATTTCTGATCCACCCTGTATTTGTCCAGGTTGTAGCTAAGATGAAGGACCTGGGAGCCCATCTATGTAGCAGGTGACAGTATTTCTGGTCCACCCTGTATTTGTCCAGGTTGTGGCTAAGATGAAGGACCTGGGAGCCCAGGAGGCCATCTATGTAGCAGGAGACATGGGGAAAGCAGAAGACTGTGAGAGAACCATCCAAACTGCCAAGGAAAAGTTTGGTAATTATATCTTTTACATAACTTCCTATTAGTCCCCAACATGCCTCTAGAATATAAGGAATGGACTACAGAAACAGACACACCATCTTTCTAGTAGTTGTTTCTTTGCATTGTATGGAAATAAAAGCAATATATTTTCAGTGTACAACTCACGATCACTTCTCTATTGCGGGGTTACTAACTTATTAAAAGAATTATTAAATCACCTTGTTCACAGGTGGGCTGGACATCCTTATGTTAAACCACATGGGGTCAAGTTTTAAGAAGGGAGGCCCTTTTCTATGGGATGGAGACATGGCGTTCATAGAAGACTTCACCAACATCAACTACCTGTCCTACGTACGACTGGCCTCGCTGGCTCTACCCATGTTAGAACAGAGCAATGGTAGTGTGGTGGTGGTGTCATCAGGTTTAGGTAAGAGACAACAAATGATCGTTTGGTTAGAAAAGTATTAAAACTACTTATGCTAGGTTGTTACATTTTGGCCATTCTTCTTATTGAAAAAGTTGTTTTCTGGAAATGCAGCATCAAGAAATTTTTTGGTCCATTTTTTTCCTCTGAACATTTATAGTTAACAAAACATGTTATTTAATAAGCAACTTTCTAACATTTTCTACAGGTAAAGTAACAAGTACTTTCGTCTCCTACTACTCTGGCGCAAAGTTTGCGCTTGACGGATTCTTCGGATCTTTGCGACAGGAGCTTCAACTGAAGAAGGTTGACGTGTCAATCACACTGGTCGTTCTGGGCATGGTGGACACAGAACAGTCCATGAACTCAGCAAAGGTAAACACATTGTGCTTATAATTAGTAATATCTGCAATAAGCCAGTTCGTTCTAGTGCAATAAGCAGTTTGAACTGTGTATGCCGTGTGAAATGTTTTAAGCATGGTCTAGAGAAAAAAACTTTCTATAAGTCAGGGGCCTTCAAATTTTACGATGCAAATGCAGTTTGAACCATGAACCTGTGTTGATCTGTTTTAGTCTGCCCACCTTGCAGTAAGAGACCCACATTTGGTATCATACCGCAGTTTTAGAAACTTCAGTGTGAAGTCTACTTTAAAGCATGGTTGGTTTTTCAAAGCAACTTATTGTCTTTTCTACTCTCTTCAAGGTCATGGGACTTCTTGACGTTGCAAAAATGATAGCGTACTCAGCGGAGGATGCTGCCATGGCAATTATACGCGGTGGCGCCACCCGGCAACGGGAGCTGTACTACCCGTGGATGATGGTGTGGCCATTGACCAAACTCCGAGCCGTCTTTCCAGAACTTCTCGATTGGTTGGAACTTCAAAAAACTGTTCCAAAATAACAGTCTAGGATATACAAGAAAGATATGTGACTGCCAGAAATAAAATTTGCTACTGTAACCCTTGTGTTGGAATAAAGTTCAATGTTTTACTAAAATTTGCTACTGTTTTAATATCCAAACCAGAACAGGAATTTTCTGTATCTGAACAATTTCGCAAAGTTATCTGTGGTCTTCAATGATGACAGAGACAGAAACACAAATAAGCAGTTAACAGAATGTTTATTTAGACTTCAGGTATCTTATGTAAAGAACCCATGCTTTCACAAGGATTTGGAATCAAATATGATGGTGATTTCATCACCCATACAATTTTAAAATTCTTCCCCAGTATTAAACTGTCATTGTTGTAAATGGAATAAGTTCCGAATAACAAACTTTTTTGTAACAAAAAGTGTAAGACAGTCTATTCATGCACAGGTATAATACCGGTACATTGTACCTCAAGGTTGATGATACCAGGTAATCTGGACCTGTACCTAAATGATTTTTGCAGTACTATACTCTGGTACTCTGCACTGGTATGCAGCACTAGGAAGGGATGTGCAATGGAATATCTTGCTCTCATTGTCCCATCAAGTCACAGGAACTATGTTGCATCTGAAAATAAAAGAAAGTTGTAACTGTATGGACAAAATAGCTTTGAACTGAATGTACATTTCATAAATAAACTGTCAAACAGTCCAATCAAAGAGTAATAATATGAAAGATTTTGTTCATTGAAATATGTAGTACGCATTACTCAAAAGCATTATCAATCAATCAATCAAAAATGGTTTATTGCTAAAATCAAGAACATTGCAGCATAAAGCTGAATTGCGTTCAAAGATGTACATCCTGTTTTAAAAACTTAACGACAGCACAATCTTGGAGTCAAGATGTGGTAATAGAGTTACACATTAAAAAAGTATTTACACGATATTACACATATTTAGCATAGTGAAATTCAAATTTTTTCATTCACATTAGTACTGTACATTTCAACATTACATTAAACTATTTCATATACAAATTGCACAAGAGAGGCATTTACAGAGTTACGAGCAGTATCAATTCATTTCGTTCAACAGTCTTAAGAGGGACGGTAGAGGGCTGTTGTTACATCTTGTTGTACGTGTGGTAGGGAGAGTCCGTTTTGTAGAGTTTCTGAGTTCACGTCGGGTCGACTGTCCCCGGGTTGGAGGTAGCAGATCAGCGGTTCTCTCCGACTTCTCCATGCTGACTGCAAACCTACGGCACAGGTTGACTCTCCTGTTCTCCAGTGTCTCAAGACCACACTGTTGTAGAGCTGATGTATAGTTAGTATAGTCCTTTCCAAGGATGGTACGGCAGGCACGTTTTTGTACTTGTTTTGTACATTATTCACTAGTTATAGTATGTTGGACACTGTATACCACATGGCAAGTAAGGTCTCACTGAGAAGTTCTTACCCAAGAAGGCCTCTGCCAGACCATCTCTGTGGTCTCAAACCAAGGTTCATTGTCTCCTCTCCTCTCAGGACCCTGACTGGAACAGATTTCTGTGGAAAACATATTTTTTGTGTTATATTGAGGAAGGTCTGCTGTGGGAATTACAGTCACTTCTTATGCCCTTACCAAGGTAAAACATGGTACTAGAGGTTAAATCTTGTATATGAACATACTAGGGGCAATGGGGAAAGGGGTCAGGGTTAGATGGGGGGTTGGAGTACAGTACTTACCCGGGCCCCTCGCTGTGCTGCACCACCTGTGCTATGTTCTGATGTGAGGGGGAAAGGGGTCAGGGTTAGATGGGGGGTTGGAGTACAGTACTTACTGTACCCCTTCGCTGTGCTGCACCACCTGTGCTATGTTCTGATGTGAGGGGGAAGGGGTCAGGGTTAGATGGGGGGTTGGGGTACAGTACTTACCCCCTCGCTGTGCTGTACCACCTGTGCTATGTTCTGATGTGAGGGGGAAAGGGGTCAGGGTTAGATGGGGGGTTGGAGTACAGTACTTACCCCCTCGCTGTGCTGCACCACCTGTGCTATGTTCTGTAGGCCTGTGAAGTTCCCAGGAGTAACAGACCCAAACTGTAGAACCTGGTCTCCTACCTGAAGACCCTGAAACATAGAAATATTACATCTAATACAAAAGTGATAAAGAAACTGAGCAAAAACAATATGTTTTCCTTCAAGGTAAACATAAAAATGTACTTATGAAGTATTATATGCAGTATAATAAGCCTAGCTACTCACAGCCATACTGGCAGGTCCTCCAGGAGCCACACTGTCCACCCGAGCGAACGGTCGCAGCTGGTCAGTTGTTTCTGGCCGGGTGTCTATCTTCTCCCCCTGACCCTTCTCTCTGGCCTGGGCATGCAGGGTGTGCAGTCCCTCCTCTATCTCACGCATGATGGCCTTATGGTCATTCTGTAAACCTGGGGGACAGTTTAGAAATGTTTTTTATTAACAACTTTTTAACCCTGCTTCTGTCAATGTTGTACAACTTAGTTAACAATTGTTACCTACTTACTCTGTAAGTACCTAGGTATGACTATGACTACAATTGCAGTGTGTCATTGGATAGGTTAACAATCAAAGTGTTATAGTTGGTGTGGTTTATATAATCATGTGGTTTGTATAAAGATACGCTAGTACATGTATTTTGAAAATTTTAATTTTTACATGACACTTTTTTGGATTGATTTAGTTACCATACAACAGAATACAAGTCAGCCTTCATTTTTTCACTTGATTGTGTAAGTGTGCCAGATTGTGTAAGTGTGCCATCTCACTTGTGAATAAAACAACATGGCATTGTCTAATCTTGAGCTCATATCATAAATATGAAATGTAGAATAATAACATCAGTTGTTTAGAACATTTGGAGGTAGTAAGTAGCTGAACTTACAGATAATGTTGTGTCGTGCCGTCCTGACTTGATACACGTCTATGTCTGATCTGGGGAAGTCTTCTGTGTCAACCAGAGGGCCGCTCATGCCTACTCCCTTTTGCTATACAATGTGGAAGAACATAGCAAGTTCGCAGACAATTTCAAGCAACTGTTAGGGCCTGCTAAGCCAGATAACATAAAAAATATATAATAGTATGCAAAGTTCAGTGTATTGAGCAAAAAGCTAACACAATGTTCTGCATGTCAAGCCTTTTTTATTGTTTTTCTCGAGGTCGAAATTTGTAAACAAAGACAGCATATCAGCATGAACAAGCAAAAAGCACCGCCCCCACCCCCTTTGTTTTTCAACGTCTAATTTAGACAAAATACATATTTTCAAAAATACTTAATAGTGTAGAAATAAGGATGGATATTTTCTAATGTCTCACCGATTCCAAGACGTCCTGCCAAGTCTTAATTTCCTCCTCAATTTCATCTTTTCTGGCCATCAACTTTTTCACATCGTCTGCAGAGATGGGCGCCGCCATCTTGGATCTGTGGTTCTCGGAGCAGCTTGTCCGTTGCAGTACCAAAATATACCGCAAGGTAGCAGTATTGCACGGGCAGATACTCCATCTAGGGAAGTCTCGCGTAGAGGCGTAGGTCACCACAGGCGGGTCACAATAGGCGGTCACCACAGGCGGACTGTACCATTTCATGTGCGGGGGAGGAGCATTATCTGAAATTCAATGCCGTGTCCTGTTACACACATTTTTGCATACCCGCTGCCCCTCTATTACATTACAAAGCAAAGAGACATAATTTCTTTTCCAAGTATTTTTGGGAGCATTTTGTAAATTACGTAAATTATGATCAGGATTACAATGGGGCATTTGCAATGTGTGAAGCTATCCTTGTCTAGCTATCCTGCACACAATCTACAATTCCCAATCATTAGTTTTTAATGAATGTGCTTGATTAGGCTAAAGAGCACTTCCTCTTGTCAGAATGGGAGACGGTCACGAGAGGCGGAAGATTAAAGCTTTCTCCTAACGTGGAAAAGGACATTTCTGATGACTTTCTGGACTTTTCTAGCTATCTTGCACACAGTCTACAATTCCCTATTATTAGTTTTTAATGAATGTGCTTAATTA